TTTTCCTGGTCTCCCTTCGGAGCCGTCAGGCCTCCAGCTGTTCCTGTCGCTTCCCCTGGGACCCAGGGTTGATCCCAGCCTCTGGAAGACCCACAGCGTGGCCAGTGGCCAGTCTTGGACTTTGCACTCGCTGTCACCCAATTCCTGATTTTACAGCCAAAGAAACAACATCCCTGAGGTAGATGACATCTGAGCTTTCATGTCAGGTGACCTAGTAATGCCTGAGGAACAGGTGGAAGGTTCAGAGGACCTCACAGCCTCCTCGTATCAGACTCAAGTCTTCCTTCACCTTTTCTGTGACCACTTTCTGAGTCCCAGTCTCTCTCTTTCTCTGTGGTTTCTTTCTTTCTTTATTTTTTGTTTTGTTTTTGTTTAGCTAGGCTCTCCCTGTGTAGGCCAGGCTGTCACAGTCCTGCTCACAGTCACAGGAGTCCTCCTGCCTCAGCCTCTTGAGTGCTGGTATTATAGGTACGTGCTACCAAGCCTGGCTCTCGGTCTGCTTTTCTGAGCAACGTGTTAAATAGTCCTTACTCGCTGTTCGGATTCAGTGTCTTTATTTAAGGTCTTGCCCATCATTCTGTGCTTCACCAGTCAGAGGAGTATCCCCGCTCAGAAAAGCCTGGGAGGCGAGGTTCCCTGACACTTCCCCAAGTCAGATTTTGTGGATCCCTGAATCCAGCAGACTCCCCCCCCCCCAGCACTGCTTCCCTTACCATCTTACTCCATCCCGAGCACCTTTGCTTTCATATTTTTACTTACACACGACTCGAGACTTTACGACGGAAAAGAATTTAGAAGCTCTATTGATCCAGTCAGGAAATTGAAGCCCAGTGAGTCACAGTAAGTACCATAGGATGGGGAGAATGGCATTGAGGGCGTCTCCCTGGACCTCGCAGCCAAAGCAGACTAATGGTAAAGCTCAGGCACTGTAATGGTCCCCATGAGGTGTAACGAAGCCAGCCATGGGGGCAACTGCATTAGCAGCAGCAGTTCAGGAGGGGATGGGCAAAGCCCCGGCCCCGGCTCCCCCAGCCCACCTCGCCATTAGAAGGCTTCCTGTCTCTCCAGCCCTGAGCAAGCACTTGCCTCCTGGCAGGCATCCTCATCTTCCCTCTCTGACTTCTCTCATCTCCCCTGAGAAAACCTTCTGCTCTGAGAATCTACAGTGGGGGGTGTTGGGGAGGAGAAGGCCCTGCCTGGCCTAGCCTCCAACCCTCCGACGCTGTCTTTGATAGAATGGTGCCTCTGCCTCCCCTCCCCGACACGTCCTGCTTCACACACTCTGGGGGCTTCCACCGCCTTAAGGCAGCATTTTCCCAGCCTCCGCTCCTAGTCTTTCCCTCTCTGCCTCCCCTCCCACCTCCACTTAGCCAGGCAGTCTAAAGTCCTTACCCTCACTCACCTCCTGGGGTGCCGGCCACGCCCTCTGCCCCTGGTGTTTCTCTCTGCTTGGCCTCCTTCCTCTGGACCCCCAAACACTGATCTTCTAGGACCTCCTCCAGATGCTGAACCTCCCAAACACTGATCTTCTAGGACCTCCTCCAGATGCCGAACCGCTCAGCACACTGTCACTAACCTCCGCCCCCCACCATGGGGATCTATTTGTAGGTGGGGCCCAGTCCATCCTACACACAGCTGGATGTCCCTGTCACATGATCTGTCTCCAGGACTCTTCTCTGTGCTGGTTACTGTGCTAAGGTATCCTGATCCTCACGGGGACCCTGTGAGTCTGGTGTTACCATTCCCGGGGCATATTTAGGGAAACTGAGGCCCATGCAGTAAGTATGTTGTGGGCCTAACCCTGGAACTGTACATGCTGGGGGAAGACCTGAACAGAGTCCTTGGATCATCGCTGGGCCCTGGTGTTGGGGCTCACCCCGGCAACTCCCCTATGTAGACCTGGGCTGTCCAGCTTGTCTTCCTGGCTCCTGGAGACAGCTGCCCAGAGCCTAAATGGTCCTTTCTCCCACCCTTATTCTTTCTCTCTCTCCCTCCTCCTTCGGAACTGGAACTGGGCTCCTCAAGTTTCCCTGACCAGGGCCAGGGCTTGAAAGGCAAATGAATCCTGGAAGCTCTGGCTGTTGGCATGCCAGGAGGCGGGCACTCCAGAGAGGCAGCCCTGAGAAGCAGGAAGCCTTGGCCAAGGACCCTTTCACCTCCCCAAAGCAAGATCAGCTGCCTAATTTGTAAGACCTTGTACAAAATGAACATGTGGACCCTATGTTTAAAAAAATTATTAAGAATTTTAAGATGGTGACAGAAGTATTAAGTACTGGGCCAGACGTGATGGCACCTATCTTTAATCGGCAGGCAGAGGCAGGTGGATTTCTGTGGGTTGGAGGCCAGCCTGGTTTACAGAGTGGGTTCCAGAGCAGCCAGGGCTACATAATAGAGAGACCCTCTCAATATAGACAGGCACTAATGGCCGGGCGGTGGTGGCGCACGCCTTTAATCCCAGCACTCGGGAGGCAGAGCCAGGTGGATCTCTGTGAGTTCGAGGCTACCAAGCGAGTTCCAGGAAAGGCACAAAGCTACACAGAGAAACCCTGTCTCGAAAAACCAAAATAAATAAATAAATGAATAAATAAATAAATAAACAGGCACTAATGGTACAGCTCTTACACCTAGGAAGTCAGCCCTGCCCTCAGGCCTTTCTTTCCTCATCTGTTAAATGGGCTAATGGCAGCCATCTAGCCAGGCAAGGTGAGGGAGAGAAGGAGACAGGACCTGCATGAGGGTTGAATAGGGGTCTTCATGGACATCACTTTTTAATGTGTGTGTACAGGTGCACATGGAGAGATGGACACATGTGTATGCACACACATTGAGGCCTAAGAACACCCCAGGGTTCATCCTCAGGGGTTCCGCCCACCTCTTTTGAGACAGGGTCTCCCACTGACCTGGAGCTCACCTGTTAGGCTGCATTGGCCAGCCAGTGAGCCCAACAGATCTTCCTGTCTCTGCCTCACCAGGGCCGAGATTACACGTGTGTGTCACCATGTCCATTATATTCCCATGGATTCCAGGGATCCAGTTCAGGTCCTCATGCTTGCTAAACAAACACTGTATGAACTGAACCTCCTCCACCCCTACACACACACACACACACACACACACACAACCCAACCCACATTTTGGTAGATGAATTCTTGACAAGAATTTGCTTCTTTTTAAAAATGTATTTTATTTGGTGTGTGTGTATGTTTTGACATATATGTCTGCCTAGCACATGTGTGCCTGGTGCCTGTGGATGTCAGGAGACAGCATCAGAGGCCCTGGGACTTGAGTTAGATGGTTGTAAGCTGCTATGTGGGTTCTAAGAAGCAAACTTGGGTCTTCTGAAAGAGCATCAAGTACTCTTAATACTGAGCCTCTTGATTCTTTTTATTTAAAAAAAAAAAGCTTTTTAGTTTTTGGGGGGGGGGGTGCGCGCGCTACACACACACATTCCTGCACTAAAAGGCAGTGTCTTCAGAGGCCAGAAGGAGGTATCAGATGCCCTAGAGCTAGCGTTACAGGTGCTTATGAAACAGCTGATGTAGATCCTGGGAACCAAACTCAGGACCTCTGGAAAAGCAGCAAGTTTTCATAACCACTGAGCCATCTCTCCAGCCCCATGAATTTTATTCTCCTTTTCAAGCACTCAACCTGGGTCAGAGAATTAAGTCACTTTATCAGTGCTATACAGAGATGCAGTGTGGAAATCCAAGATCAGAGAGGCGGAGAGGAGGCTGTGGGATTGATAGAGAGGCATGCAGAGATGGAGGAGACAAAGACAGCCATTGTGCAGACACAAAGACCTGACCATAGAGGCCTCATGGGAGTTGGGCTGAAATCAGGGATGGAGCATAGTGGAGCTATACATGGTAATCAGGGAGCTGCCGGGTTGGGATCGGGGTGATGGGTGGCATGCAGAAGCCAAAATCAGCTCTGGGGCTGGGCCCCTAACACCCTGTTCAGCCCCCAGACCCACAGTCTTCCACTAGCGCAGACTCCCCCAGCTCCTCTCTGGCAGTGCGCCCCATGCTACTCACTTCGGGGTCTCCTATCTCATTAAGGGCAGTGCCAATCTCATAATCTGGCTTTTGTATTCCCCATCACCCCAAAGCATACAAAACATAGTCCCTTCGTGCTCCCTTCAAAGCCTTCTGTGGTTTTTCATTGTCGCCCTTCCACAGTCGCCTGCCCCACTCCTCATCAGCCTCCCACACCACCATCACGTGGAACATCCCACCATGGTCCACACCTCAGTCCTTTTACACACACGGCCTTGTGCCTGTGTGTGCTTCTCCTGTCCTGAGGTGTTCTGCTCCAGCTGTACTGTGGGCTGAAATCCTCCAGCACTCAGCAAGTCTCCATCTCCACTGCTGGGCTTAACCTGTCCATTAACACACCAGTCCACTCTCCACAAACGTCGGATTTACCCACCGTCTGCAAGTGCTCGCCCCACGCTGATTTGTGCGGTTAGCTGTTTACATCCACAAAGCCCCACCGGGAGGCGGGCCACATTTGAGCTGAGTCTTACAGGGTGGTGACTGCACCGGCCTGGCTGTGGAAAGCAAGTGGGGAGAGCCAGGGAGCGGTGACACCTGCTCGGAGCTCCTGCAGCAGACACTTCCGGTTTGGTTTCTGAGGTCCAATGACAAAGGATGCAGAGCAGCAGACGCCATTGTCCAGCTGGAAGATTCATAGACTCCCAGGGCATCTGGGTGTGGTGGTACACACCTGTGATCCCACCCAGCTAACCTTTTTCTTTTCTTTTTGTTGTTTTAAAATTTATTTAAAACTTACCTGTGTGCCCGTGTGAATACGTGCACACGTGAGTGCAGGTGCCCTACGATTCCAGAAGAAGGCATCAAATCTCCTGGAGCTAGAGTTATAGATGGTAATGAGTCACCTGATGTGGGTGCTAGGAACTGGACTCAGGTCCTCTGCAAGGGCAGCCAGTGCAAAGAGCTAGAAGGAAGGCTCAGCTGTTAAGAGTGCTTGCTGCTCTTCTAGAGGACGTGGACCCGAGTTCAACACTCAGCACCCACACTGGGTGTCTCTTAACCTCCTATGACTCCAGCTCCATGGGATCTGACACCTTCTCGTTTCCATAGATACCCCTACCCATGTGTCATACACACACACACACACACATACACACACACACACACACACGCTCACACCCACTATGGCACATGGAAGTCAGGTGACCGCTTACAGGAACTGCTTTCGTTCCTTTCCACCATGTGGGCCCAGGTCCTCAGACCTGGTGGCGAGAACCCTTATCTGAGCCATCTTGCCCCCTTAACTCAACTTTCACATCATGTAGGCTTCTTTTGTGAAGCTGACCTCCTGCAGTGAGGGTCCCTGACTCTGTCAACCCGGATGATGCTGCACTTGGGGAATTTGGGCAGAGGAGTTCCACCCCTGGGCGAATCGCACTGTCGCACCTTGCCCTTTGTCCTACTGCCTATCTAGCCTTCCCTCCTCTTCAGGCACAGCCTGTCCGTGATGTCCCAGATCTTGTAAAGGCTCAAGAACATCTTGAGCCCAATAAAGTCCTAATTGTGTTGGTGGCTGGAGGATGCCCAGGGTGCTGGGGGCAGGGTAGAGTTTGGTGGAAATATTGTTTGAATGTGTTGTGACGTTTTAGTTTTTCTACAGGTATGTAAGACAGGGTCTCTCTGCGTTCTCCACATAGCTCTGGCTTTCCTAGAACTCACTATGTGGACCAGGCTGGTCTTGAACGCTACCTCCTGGGTGCCAGGATTAAAGGTATGCACCACCACACCCAATTTCAAAGATCTTTTTAAACTAGGGATTGAACCCAGGGCTTTTCATATTCTAGGTCTGTGTTTTTACCTCTGAGTCAAATCTCTAGCCCCTGTGAAGGATTAAGTCTGCAGTTTGCATATACTTTAGAATTTGTTCTTTGTGTGATCTATGGATGGTTTATTCATTTTTTACTTTCTTTACTACTGTTGTGTGTTGTGCATGTGATGTATATATGTTAGGGTGGTTCTGGGAGGTCAGAGGACAACTCTCAGGACCTAGTTCTTCCTGTCCACTGGGGCCTCTGAGGATCCAGCTCAGATTTTCAGGTTTACACAGCAAATACTTACCTGCTGAGTCATCTCGCAGGTCCTGTTCTATGGATATTTTAAAAGGAGGTGTGTGTGTGTGTGTGTGTGTGTGTGTGTGTGTGTGTGTGTGTGTGTTTTAATAGGATCTACTTATTTTATTAGTCTAGTTCTAAAACACACACAAGAAGCATACACCTAACTTTAGGTCAATATATGTCTGTATTTATTCTTAACCTTTGCATCCCTTTATACTGACAGTGGTGTGCCTGTCCTTCTATTTTCTTTTCATTATTTTGATGCTCTATGTTTAATATAGAAATTCTCTCTGTGTGTGTCTGTATATGTGTGTCCATGCATGTGCATACAGAAGCCCTTGGAGCCCAGAAAAGGAGATGGATTCCCTGAGGTGAGTGATGCCATGTGGGTGCTGGGAAGCAAGCTCCAGTCCTCTGCAAGAGCAGCTAGTGCTGGAGCCATTTTTCTATCCCTGAGTGTGTGTGTGTGTGTGTGTGTGTGTGTGTGTGTGTGTGTGTGTGTGTGTGTGTGTTAAATGATCTCATGTAGCTCAAGCCGGCCTTGAACTCCTGATCCTCTTGAGTCTACTTCCCAAGTGCTGGTATTGCTAGTAGGTGCCGACTGGCGTCACAATTATTGTTTCTAAGTCACTATTGACATTCCTTACTTTATTTCATTTGCTTTTACTTAGCTTCATTTGTGCTTTGTCACATAAACTTTGTATGCCATTTAACTTTTTTCTTTATATTTTGGATGAGGAGCTGGGGAGAAGGCATAGAGGTTCAGAGCACCTGTTCTTGCAGAGGACCCCAGTTTGGTTCTCACCACTCACATAGTGGCTCACAACCATTCCTAACTCCAGTTCCAGGAGATCTGATGCCCCTTTCTGACTTCCTCTGGTACCAAGCGTGCATATGGTGCATATACATACATACAGGCAAAATGCCCATCTACATAAAATAAAGTGAATAGATCTAATTTAAAAATAAAATAAAATTTTGAATGAGGAGCCGGAGATGGTCCAGTGATTAAGAGCACTTACTGCTCTTCCAAAGAACCCAAGTTTAGTTCTAAGCACCCACGTCAGGTCACTCACAAACACCTCTAACTTCAGCTCCAGGGGAATCCTCTGGTCTCTCTGGACACCTTCACACACATACACATACCCACCCATACAGACAAATACATGTGCATATAATTTAAAATAATAAAAACAAGTTTTCAAAAATAAAAGTTTGAATGAGTAAGATATTTCCATGGTCCAAAGTTTAATCTTTATATATTTTAATTTTTTTTGGAACTCACCAGGTAACTGAAAATGCACTTGAACTTATGAGCCTCCAGCCTTTGCCTCTCAAGTTCTAGGATTATATTGCGCCACCTTGCCTCCTTCACTCCGTGCTGGAAATCAAACCCAGAGCTTCATTCATGAGTGCAAGGCAGCACTACCCACTGAGCCACATCTTCATCCCGCACCCCTCGTCCCCACCTCGTCCCCATGTAGCACAGGCTAGAACTTGCAGCCCTCTCGCCTCTGACTCCCTAGTGCTGAGACTTACCACCACGAACTGCCACACCGGCCACAGTGTGTCTCAAAGAGCTGTCCAAATCAGTCTACTGGGGGCCTGTAGGGATCCACTGTATAGCTGCATCCTCATGTATTTAACTCTGTATTGATGGATTATTTTTCTAATACAATGTTGTGATGAGAAACTGTACACATGTTTTTTTGCTCAGGTGCCAGCACATACAGAAAAATGTCATTGCAATGCTGTTTCTAGATCAAAAAGTGTATGCACTTTTAGAGTTGTTGCCTTCTCCTCAGCCGGCATGAGAGTCCTCACGTCCTCACTGACGTTGTGATCTAGAACTACTGGATTCCTTCAGTCTGATAGGTGAAAAATCAAGTCTTGCATTTCTCTCATATCAGATGTGTCTTTTCCTAACAAAAGAATCTATGAAGACGTCCCTTTTCATTATATCCTGTAGATATCTTTGTATCAGGCTGTTGGTTCTTTTTATCTTAGGAAGATTATCCCTGTGTCTGTCACCCGAATTGAAAATCGTTTCCCTGAGTTTGTCGTTTGTCTTGAGACCTCACTCAGGGTTTGTAGAATCTGTTTTCCCTGGTGTGGTAGTCACTGTTCTGTTACTGTGAAGAACATCATCAAGGCAGCTCATATAAAAGGAAGCATTCAATGGGGACTTACAGTTTCAGTAGTTTAGTCCGTTATCAGCACGGCAGCACACATGTCTACAGAGCAGCACCTGAGGGGTACATCCTTATCCACAGGCCAACAGAGAAAGCAACTAGGCCTGACATGTTCTTCGGAAAACCTCAAAGCCCACCCCCAGTGACACACTTCCTCCCACAAGGCCACACCTACTCCAACAAGGCCACAGTCTCCGAATCCTTTCAAACAGTTTCACTCCCGGATGACTAAGCATTCAAATATATGAGCCTATGGGGACCATTCTTGTTCAAACCGTATCTGGTTTACATTTCCTAATTTGTTCTTTTATGATTTGGGGAATTTGAGACATAATTAGAAATGTCTTTGTACTCCGAATGTCTGATCCCTTACGTTCTCCAGTCTTACAGGGCTGGGCATTGAATCCAGGGCTTCATACATGTTAGACACCCTGCCATGGAGCCAGCTCCTCCGTCTAATATTCTTTCAGACCTTTTTACATATATATTTAACACAGTTGGATATTACATTATTATAAGTATTTCTTCCAAGGACTATACTGTGCGGCTGCACTTTTTTTGAATACAGGGTGTCATGTAGCTTAGGCTAGTCTTGAACTTAGCTAATTATGACCTTGAGTTTCTGACTTTCCTGCCTCTGCCTCCCAAGTGTGGGAATGAAAAGGATGTGCTTGAACTTTCTTTTTTTCTTTTTCAAACCTGGGGATGTGTGAATACATGGTTATGGTGCCACATAGCTGTCATTTCAGGTGCTTACAATACCAAGTCAGGAAGATCTGAAGTTCAAGACTAGCCTGGTCAACCCTGTCTTAAAACAAACAAACAAACAAACAAACCATAACACTGTCATCTTTGCCATCATTTATGTGTATCTATTTCATATTTGATGTGGTCTCATTCACTTCACTATTTTGCTTAGATTCCTCATGTTTTAACAACAACTTCTCCTCCTCCTCCTCCTCCTCCTCCTCCTCCTCCTTCTTTTCAAGACAGGATTTCTCTGTAGCCCTGGCTGTTTTGGAACTTGCTCTGTAGACTAGGCTAGACTCAATCTCAGAGACTCACCTGCCTCTGCCTCCCGAGTGCTGGGATTAAAGGCGTGTGCCACCATCACCTGGCTTGTTTTTATTTTCTATAATGATTTGGGAAGTAGAAATCAAGTTTGTAATTACATAAATCTTCAAATCAGTCAAGCGCATACATTGAAACTCCTATTATCAAATTGCCATGTCAATATGCCTGTGTCAGCTGTTTTTCAAAAGTCTGTTATCGCCCAGTGTTCAGATGATTCCAGTCTAGATGGAGAGAAGTTTGGCAGGCTTAAATTAAGCCAGCCAGGGCCAAAGGGAGTGGAGGAAATCTCAGGGAGACAAGGAGGGGGTGAATTTCTCAAAGTAAAATCCCCAGGGCCTCGAAGCCTTTGATACCAACCCTGGGAGCATTGCCAATCTGATATGTGCAAAATCTTGTCTCCCTGGAGCTGTGGTTTGCACTGCTCTTTGGAGTGATCTCCGGCATCTTTTCATACATCTGGGGGCCGTTCTCCTTCCCATAGCTGTGAGCAGCCCGTTCATATTTGCTTCTCTCTTGGGAAGTCCCAGCAAATAACCACATCAAAGCTCCCTGGACTGTGTGTTTGCAGAGTGACAAATGATTCTGAGGGGTTCATTCTGTCTCTCACAGAGTCGTTTCCCGGATAATGAGCTTTTCATCAAAACCTTCAGAGCGATTTTCTCCCTCCTTGTGCTGTGAGATCTTTGCCAAGGCCTATTGTAGTTTTTGTTCACCCTCTCTTGGTCAGGAGGAAATAAAGCTGACCGGGCCCCACCTCCTGACACTCTCAACTCCGTGCTGTATTGCTTAATAACGGTCAATGTCTCAACCCCACCATTAGACAGCGTGGACACCGAAAGAGAAGCTGATGGGTGGGTTAGAGGAATTACCGTCATCACTAGCATCATACTAACCGGCACTTAAGCAGCATTGGGTGTGAATTCATTCACTAATCATATGTTTGCATATGTGTACACTCCAAATATATATGAACTACGTTCCCGTACATAAGTGGAATTCTCATGGTGACCTTGCAAGACAGGTAATGTTATAATCCCCATGTGACAGGTGACAAAGTGAGGCATAGAGAGGACATATAATTTGTCCGAGATCACACCGGTTGAGTCAGAACTCTATGGTATCTGGCCCCAAACTCCACAGTCTTTTCCACTCTGACTGGCTTGGAAGATCACTCTATGTATGAATCACTGGTCAAAAGCCTGTGTGTGCTCAGCATTGCTGTGGGATCCCCAGGACAGAAGTATGCACTAACAATCAGTCCGTTTTCTCTACCTCAGGACCACTGGCGGTCTCCTTGTGAGTTCATTTCACCCTCTCATTCTTTCTTTCAACAAACGTCAGTCGAGTAGTCATATGGGACATGTCCTGCACTAGGTGTCAGGGATGCCAAGGTAAATTAGCTATGGTCCTAGTCTTCAAGGGACCTGAAGTACAAGAGGACAGGAGACAGCTCACAGTCAGTTAAAGGCACAGCATGACAGACACAGGGAGGAGCAGGCAGGGTGTTATCCACATCTGTATCTAGTCAGCAATTTCCCCCTTGTACTTCGCCCTGGGCCCTCCTTATCTTCAGTTTCTGTAACCTCACGGCAAGCTTTTGTGGTTTTGTGTGTCTTCCTCCACCTCTCCACTGGGTATCCAGATTGGGGCTGATAAATGGTGTATTTGTCATCCTTGGCGAGAGGCGGGGAGCCAGAGGAGTCAGGCTTCTGCACCGGACAGGCGGGCACTTTAGAAAGGGTGCTCTAGCTGCAGTGTGGGATTACCTGGAATGACAGTGATGTGGAAGGTGGCCCAGTCAGACGGCTCAGTGGTCCAGGTAGAATGTGGGAGCTGAGGAAAGACTGCCAGGGAGGAGGGACGACAGTGGAGGACGCCAAGGCCGTGGAATCGAAGGGCTTTACTAGTTCAGTCAGCGACGTCTGAGGACCATCTAGGTATCAGGCACTGTGCCAAGTGCTGGGAATTCATCAGAAGCAAGCTAGGCAGTCTCCCCCGGCACTCAGTCTGGAGGGGAAGGAGGAGGACTGGAGCCACAGAAGATACCAGACAATGTGACAGGAGTCCAGGGCTCGGGAGGGACGTGAGGAGTAAGGCCACGCTGATGCCGGCCAATGTCTAGGTTCCGGCCTTGCCGCAGGTATAGGCAGTGGGACCACTGCCTGAGCTGGAGAACCCGGGAAGGCAGAACCCCGGCCGGCGCTGTCTGCCTGGGTCCCTAAGGCCGGGACAGGGCAGAAGCAGGGGACACAGTGCACAGGCAACTGCTCAACCAGTGACAGTCATTCAGCTGTGGCTCCCGTCCAGACCCCAGCTTGACCTTGCAAGAGGAAGATGGGGAGTGGTCCAGGAAAAAAGTTTGCAGCTTCAGGAGGCCCCGTGGTTACTCAATGCCCACAGATGGGTGGCCAAGACTTCCCAGTTACCCAACGGGCCTTAGGAGGCAGCTGCCACTCTCCCGACACCTTCCAACTAATGCTGACTGCCAAGGCCCAATGTATTTGGACCTAGGCAGTGGGACACTCAAGGACATTCTGGGGCCATGAGTACGGGCCCCATGGTTTGCTAGAAACTTTCTTGGAACTAGAAAGGTTAAAACCCCAAACAAACCAGTCCTGTAAAGTCTCTGTGTGTGTGTTCCCAGAGGTAGGCCTGGCTCCTGCACCCTGTGTGTGTGTCTTCCTACTGTGGCACTGACCCCCCCCCCCAACTGGATATAACCACTTCCATCCAAGCACAGGACTGGCCATTACCCTTGGTATCCCTAGCCTCTGACCCAGACAGCCAGAAAGTGTTTCAGTTTAGTTCAGAGACAGCTAGGTCCTGACTGCAAGAGGCTTGTCTTCCCACCCCCAGAAGTCCCCCAGGAGCCGCTCACATACCAGACTCGTTCTTGGCACCAGGTGAGGATGCTCAGAGTCATAGCCCTGAGTGGATATGCCAAGGTTTTAAAAGCATCTGGCTCTAGGAGTGCGAAGGTACCAACTTGATGCCCATGATCCTCTCTCCCCAGCCAATATCCGATAGTTTCAGACTCGGAGCATCTTTGAATCCGAGGGCTAGAGAGCCTGTCTCCACTCACGGCATTCAGACCCTGATCCCAAATGCCCTCAGCAATAGGAACTCCCCCAACCTTGGACCTGAGGTTCTGTGACTTCCATGAGGGTCTCTTTTCTCTGTCCTAGGGCCAAAAATAGCTCAGTGAAGCCAGGACAGAGGTTGGGGCAGGGACTCGGCCATGCCTGAGAGGTAGGAAGTCAGCAGGAGGCCACTTCTCCAAAGTCACGGTTACAGTGTCATCGTGGATTCTGATTACCTAACCATCTGTGGGCCACGGCAAGGCCACTAACGAGAAGGAAGCTGCAGCCTGTCAGCTCTTCCGAGGCAGTGAGCCAAGGGCGGGTGAGCACACCTGCACGTCCAGGCTGCCAG